AGGTCTTATTATATCTAGTAAATTATTCAGGTTTAAAATGTCATGCATGTCAATGTCAGTAAGTAGGCACCTTTTGGTTTCGTCTGAAATACAAATACTTTTAAAGGGTATTACAAACTAAAATTTTGTTTACAATTCAGCCATCATTATTAAGTACGGCTAGCCTATCAGTCTAGCCGTACTTATTTTAGGCCCTATGAGAAACCTGATGAGTAGACAGGTCTATTCAGGCTTAAAATACTTGAACTATCAGTAAGGCACCTTTTGGTGTAGTCTCAAATACAATTTATACTTTAGATTGCAAACAAAAACTTTATTTACAATTCAGTAGGCCTATTTTTTGCTGTTAGAAAGTCAGTCTAGCCATCATTATTAAGTACAGCTAGCCCGGTCGTGTAGCCATTATTAAGTTGTAATAAAGCCTTACTGAAGTCTGATATCTTGAAGGCCAACAGGAAAATTATGTGAATACGTATACAAATTTGATAATTTAAACATCTGTCACTATTTTAATGACGAGATTGCAACCCAAGGCAGACTTTAAAAAATAATCCCTGAAGTGAAAGGTCTTTTTTTACATTTCCTGTCGTGACAGTGTATGTTCTCCTACTAAAGAAGAGTTTAATAAGTGTATGTATGTGGCAACTCTTGTTGTGGGAACGATGGAAGGTGTGCGGACTGCTTTATCTACACAGGTTTATCTCAGGGGGCGCAGCCACTGATAGAGAAGGCCAAGTGGGCGCAGGGAGAGTGCAGTGTGTATCATAGCTTTCTTTGTCTCTGTCACTGAAGATAGTGGGATAAAATTAAGCTGAGTTTTGATTGCTCCTCAAGGGCAGAAGCAAGAAAAGATTGTTTCCTGTACCCGATAGTGATAGAAACTGTATAGTCTTGTTAACTTTGACACCTAAGGTGGTAGGCTGTAAAGAGTGCATCATGCATTGTGTGACACCACCTCCTCCCAAGCGCGCGCACACAAACACACACACACACGCACACACACATACACTCACGCACACACACACACACATTCACACACACATTCACACACACATTCACACACACATTCACACACACATTCACACACACACACACACACATATGGGAACCTGAAACACACACATATATGTATACATATAACAGACACACACACACGCACACACACACGCGCACACACACACACACACACACACACATATATAAACACACAGAAACTCAAATACTGATGTCTATGAAGTTACCTAGGATAAATGAAAATATATCTGCTTTCATGCTGTGTCCATGTAGGCCTTAGTCTAAAATATGGAATTTATGCTTGTCATGTGGCACACAACTTTGCATGCGATTCGTACTTGGCTGGTTGGTGGTTGGTGCTCTGGTGTGATCTGCTTCTTTTTTCCTATCTTTTGAAAATCTATCATGTTTAAACTGCAACTCTCTTGGAACATTTCTAATTTTTGCCACTTATGTTCGCATGACCTCATTGTGTTTGCCACTTACTAAAAGAAATACTTTCTTGGCTGACATCATGTGGAAGTTTGATATATTTGGTTCTCAGTGGGAACTGAAATTTTCCTTTGTGACATTTTCTCTTCTGGTATCCTTATATCTCAGATAAGTGGTCCGGTTTTTAACTTTTTGAGGATGCATTGTGGCCATTCACAATGTTCAATGACCTGAGAAGACACGCTCTCATGCTTTTTTGGCGCACTTTAAAATCAAATCATGACTTGGCTGTTCATGTAAATTTTTCAGTTCTGTTTCCTTTAAATAGAGTTAATGCGTGTGTTATATATGTCATGTTGACCTTTGGCTTAAACTGTTTTGCAAGAGAAAATATCCAGTAATTTTTCTTTGAACACCTCTACAGTTTGTTATATATATTCATTTTGGGGTATAAAGACGGAAGATGATGGTTGGCGGGGGCTCTGGCACAGTTTGCTCCTTCATTCCTGTCAAACATCTATTGTTCTTAATCTCTCCACCTTTTTTGTGTGTTTGTGTACTCTCTCATTATTTTATAACACGACCTGGTATAGTCAAAGGTGGGTTTTACTTGCTGTGTTTGTCAGTATATCTATAGGGTGGGCAGTGTTGGCTTGCTTGTCTGCCTGGATTTGTATTTTTGTTTGTTTGGGTTTTTTTTCTTTTCACATCGAGGGATGGGAGGCATACGATGTGAACCTCCATGCTTCTTATGTGTTCTTTGGAAAAAGCACTTGATGCTTGAACTTGCTGAAGGAAAGAAGTAGAAGGGAAAAAAGCTTGAAAACATAAAAGAATTGGAAAAAATTATACTAATACTATACTATATGGAGGGGGATAAACATATTCGGGTAAATACAAAAAGAAAAAGGAAACAAGTGCAGGAGGCTCAGAAATATGTGCCAGAATTAATCTTATTGAAGATATTTGTATTGCAAGTGCTGAAAAACACTAACCAACTTAAAGACAATGGATACCATCATGGGGCTTTCAATTTTTTTAATTGTTTACCGAATTTGCAATATATAGAGCTGTGAGAATATGCATCTGACAGAGAAAAGATGTACGGGAAGTTTTAAGAATAAAAGACTGTCAAATATTGTTTAGTTGAAGAAGAAAAAATATGCGTCATGACACAGGGGAATCAGTTGTTGGTCAATTTTACACATGATGAGTTACTGTTATAGTTTTATACAAGCTTTTTCTCTTGTTTTTGATGAAAAAAATACCCATCTATCTTGGAATAGCAGATGAGATTATATTGGCGACTGAAGGAGATGGGGTTGCCTGGTGTCAGAGCTAAAATCATTGAGATGTTGGCTGCCAAAATTTGGTGACTTTCAGAGTGGAGTGCCTTTGGAAACTGCAAATTTGTATTTTTGGTTCCTTTGTTCAACGTTTTTCAGTAAAATGCACTGTTTTTGAGTGGGCATAAAGGGTGCTGAGCCATAACTCCAAATCAATTAAAATTGCCCAGCAGATGGGAAAAATGTCTCTGTTTCTTCAATTTCATAAGCCTGATTTCACCACTACGCCACACATTTATATTTAGTTGATGAACAGATGGATTCGAGCCAAAAAAACCCAAAACCCCCATTGGTGACACCTTGTGCGGCATCTATACTCTCCCCGCATAATGAGTATCCGTCCGTTAATTACCCTGTAAAGTGAAAATTTCATTTGTAAAGCAAGCAACAGCTGTTTTCTTAGGGGAATCCAGCTGGTATATTCAAATGTGGGTTGTACTTGCTCTGTTTGTCAGTATATAGGGTGGGCAGTGTTGGCTCGCTTGTCTGCCAGCGTTTATATATAATATTTTTGTTTTGGTTTTGGTTTTTTCTTTTCTCATTGAGGAGTGGGAGGCATACGTTGTGAACATCCATGCTTCTTTGGTGTTCTTTGGAAAAAGCACTTGATGGTTGAACTTGCTGAAGGAAAGAAGTGGAAGGGAAAAAAGCTTGAAAACGTAAAAAAATTGGAAAAAATTATACTAATACTATACTATATGGAGGGGGATAAACATATCCGGGTAAATACAAAAAGAAAAGGGAAACAAGTGCAGGAGGCTCAGAAATATCTGCCAGAATTAATCTTATTGAAGGAAACATTTATGATTTAACACTTACAGTACCAAAGGCTCATAATATACTGAAAAACCCTTAATAAAAGTACTCTGGCGACCGGTACTGGAAGTGTTAAGGGAGACTGCCTAGTTCAAAGGAAATTTGTGCTTGTTATTTCTTTTGGTATCACAATTATTGAACAATTCTCTTTCACTTTCAGTGTATTAGATGGGTACTCAGGGCTTTGGGAATGTATCAGACTCCTTTCATTTGCCAAGTATCTCTAGACTGGTTGCTTTTGTTCTTGTATTTTTTTCATTAGTATTTTAATTTTTTCTGCTGCCATTACAATTATTGAACTTATTTATGAAAACAGATAAATGGTCTTGGTACTTGTTGCCTCTTTGCCCCTTGCTCAAGGGAGGTAGAAGTCAGATTTTGAGCACAATAATTTTTTGAAGCAAAACTGCTGTTAAAATCATGTAATAAAGTGCATGATCAAGTTTGATTGTCTATGTCATGCAGGTCATTTTTGCAAGAAATGCTTAAAAAAGTTAATTTCTAAATAATAGATGAATGAGCTCTTGTCACATTCAGTTCTTTGTTTGATACATCAAGAAAATCTAGTGCAAATTTTTGGACCTAGTATGTCTGGGAATGTGTTGCTTCATAGGAATAAACTATTACAAATTTTGGTCTCTTGATAAAGATTGAAGGCAGCAGTTGAGAGAAAGCTAAAACAAACATAGGGAAGAAGTTTCGCAGAGGGCCGATCGACCAACAACACACTAAAGAGGGGATATTTTGAGCGGGGTATACAAAAGTTGGGCTCAGTATTTTGCAAAAATATTATGTTTGTGGCTTTTGCTGTGACGAGTCCATATCACTTTGCAATTGTCTCTTTGTTTCTTTGTCCTGTCAGCTTCTTTACTTTGTTGTAGCTATAGTCTTTGTATCTTTCTCATCAAACATTTATCATCCTGGCCTCTCTTCATTTACTTTTGTATTTTACCATCTCATAACACGTAATCTTCAGCGCTTCATGACCTATTAGTGCCGTTAAACTCTAACTAAAACTAAAACTGAAGTATTTATATCCTTTGCTGTCTTGCAAAAAGGCTCCAATGACAATGAGGGCTGCTTTGCTGTCTGTCTTGTGCTTGGAATTTGCTAGACTAAAGAACGTAATTTAGCCAAAGTTGTTGGAAGTGTGTGAAATCTTGGCCGTGGTAGGAGACCACATTAAATCTTCTTGCGTGTTTTGTGTAGTGTGGGTTCTTTGCTGTGTATTGAAGTGTTCCTTCTCACGCCTACTGTTTCAAACAGGGCTGTTCTGTTCCAATCTGGTGGAAAGATTTTTTTTCCTTTCCAACTTACATTCTCTTTCAGGAGGATAGCTATTTTTAATTGGCCAAACAGATTAAAAATACATTTTGTTTTCTCCCCTTGCAGCCTCCGGGTCCATGGTAGACAGTGACTTCAAAGATGTCAAAGTCGGTTTCGAAGAACTATGCCCTGTGTGTGGGGACAAAGTCTCAGGCTATCACTATGGACTTCTCACTTGTGAAAGCTGCAAAGGTGAGGAACAGGAAATATTATCTGCAAGCACCTGATTCATGGCATTATTTTAGTTATTCATTCTCACTTTTTCTGCACTTATCAGACTTGTCTTTGTCACAGATGCAAGGGATTTTTTTCCATTGTGTCTTAATTAAATACTTTTTGATTTGCCTCCTATAGAACATTTCACTAAATTGCTGTACTTGGCATCAGCCCTTTTTACTGCGGCATTAAAACCCTCCACAAGATCATTCTGTTCTATCGTTTAAGTTGCTGACCAGCTTCCCTTGTACTAATGAACATTTGGGTATGGAAAGTAAAAACTTGTAGCTCTGTATATATGTGTGTGTGCAGGCAGGGGAAGTGTCTGAATGTGCCAGCAGTGGGACTATTTCTAACGGGGAGTAAAGTGATGATCAGATATAACTCTAGCTGGATGAAATAAGAAATATTGCATTTGACAGTGATTCCCATCCACCAGTTATTTGGAGTGAAAAATAGACAACTACTCGGTAGTAGCAAGCTGCATGTCCCTTTTATAATCTTGGAACACATGTGAATATCGATGCTTCATGTGTTAATGTCATCTCTGCCTACTGTCTCTAGTTCTGTTTTCTTTTGTACCCTTAACACTGAGTCAAGAGCTCTGTGTTGTTGCGAAGTGTATGTACAGTTGGTGTTAAAATGAGTTAATGAATCTACAAACGCAGGGGATGGTTGGGGAGCACCACTAGTAAGTCCTACTTCATTTGTTTCTTGCCATTGTTTTCATCTGTTTGTCTTGTACGTTCCATACCTGGATACCATTTATAGCATTGATGAATTGATGTATTTCTCTTTAATCAAATCTGCCAACTCGTACCATTACAGTGCTCCTATGAGTTGGTCATTGCTTTACGTTATTTGCTTGTCAGGTTTCTTCAAGCGGACGGTGCAGAACAAGAAAGTCTACTCGTGTGTGGACAATCGTAACTGCCAGATAGACAAAAGCCAGAGGAAGAGATGTCCATTCTGTCGCTTCCAGAAATGCCTCAATGTTGGCATGAAGCTGGAAGGTATAGTTTACTCTTTTGACTTTTTTCTCTATGTATGTTTTATATGCAGATTTTGTTATTCGTGTTTATGTAACATGAAATTTGAAGATTTTCTTTTCTCAAAGTCACTCCATTACTTATTGACACAGTCCTTTGATGAACTCCTAATTCTGTTTTACTAGTGTAGGTATAAACTTCCAAGCCTCACCTTCTTTTAATGAACTTTTTTTGTCATCAATAATCTCATTGCATGTATGCTTTTTAATAGAAGATTTATTTTTCTTGTTGGGATTGAATAGCAAGGTTTATTTATTTATTTATTTTTTTATTCCCTGATGATGTATGTTGGACTTCATATTGAAACGATGTTTCTATATTTAAAACTTTATTAAACAGGGGGAAAGAGGTGAATTTTGTATTCAAAATTGAGGAAAATGATGCTTATAAATGTTGTCTTAGAACCATCAGGCTATGAAAACCCCTCTTATTTAGTTGTCTTTTATTCCAGATTTAATCTTGAATGGTTTTCCGAAAAGTGAAGTAAAATATGCAAGGTAACTGGATGAAGAAAATCTAGAGGGTGACGAATTAAAGAATATGGTGTATCGTTTATGACTTGCAGGTGGTTAGAGGGAGCTGCAGTTAGATTGCTTTTTTTTATGAACCCCTTGACTGCTAACCATATGCACCCCACATGCTGTGGAAAATTCTATCATACACAAGGCATCGCAGGTCACAATCTTTAATCGATATTTGTTCGCTTATTATAAGAGACAAATCTGTAAAACTTAATACCAATAGAAAGATAAATGATGAGATGAATTCATCCATTGACAAGACTTTCAGAGAACATGCCATAACAATATAAACAACCTGAAAGAACAAAGACTGAACAAGCGCTCAGATTCTACACTTTGGATGTCTCGAACGGTGTATGTGAGAAAGACTACACACATCACTATGTTATATCGGTAACAAAGCTTGTGGTTCTCATCAAACTACATATAAGTAGAAAGACAAATGAAGAAATGGTTTTATCTATAGCCAAGACTCAGGCAGAACAAGCTATAACTATGTAACCAAGTGTCAAGAACTGAGACGAGCTTTGCGAGTCGATGCATCGGGTTTGACCGCCTCGCACAATATGTGTACAGGGAAGTCGGAAAGTCGGAAATTGGTAAGAAATTTTTGTTTAGGTCGGATAAGTCGGATTTGTGTCGGAAAAATTTTGTTGCCACGGAAATGGTTGGATAAGCGTCGGCAATAAAAGAAAATTTGAGGAAATCTGTTAGTTGCCTCGGAAAAGACCCGGGAAAATACATAAAAGTTCTCGACTATTTGAAAACCAAATCCGATAACGTCCCTAAGTTCATTTTGTCGGTCGTGATCATTCAGCTTTTCCTGGTCTGACAGTATGTTTCATGCGAACAGGCGGCTATGGCGGCAAGCGGAAGTGTACGAGTGATGCCGAGGCTCTATCGGGAAAATCTAGATCTACTTTCGCTTTCACTACCACCCTGAAATTTGCCGGTAAAAGTCTGAAGAAATGGTTTTATCTATAGCCAAGACTCGGGCAGAACAAGCTATAACTATGTAACCAAGTGTCAAGAACTGAGACAAGCTTTGCGAGTCCATGCATCGAGTTTGACTGCCTCGCACAAAAGAAAAACATCACACCCCGCTATTTCGTGTTGTAGAACCCCCCCCCTTTCCGTTAAATAGTCTACATTTTGGTAATGACCTCATAGCTAAAGCAATAAGCTTTCAAGGGATGCCACTCTCCTTATTCAAAACTTAATAGAAGTTGAAATATCAACGAAGCAATACTTGGGTTTCTTCAGATCTGAATTACTTTTTTATTATCAATGTATTTTTTATTTCATCGGTTGAGAAATGACTATGTTAATGCAATTAATCACCAAAAACAATGGAGATCCTTTACCTGTGTTTGCGGTTGAGTTGCCACAAAAGCAGTGACTTTGATTCTGCCTTGAGGAAGATATTTTTACAGTGTCTGTATCTTCATTGTATGCTTTGATATAGTGTCCCACACTACCAGGGTTGGCCCAGTCCAGACAAGGTGAAAGCCAGCATTCTTTTAAATGATCAGAATTGTGTTGTTGGACATATTTCAGTGTCTCGGCTTGTGTACCACAAGAATGTGATGTGGGAAGCAAGTAGGAAGTACCTGTGCTGTAATGTCTTTGTAAATTACAGATGGGGAAATGACATTCTGAGTTTTCTGATTACTTTTAGTGGCCATTTTTTAAAAAAGAAAATGAATCGTTTCGTGCTGTTTAACCCCTCGTGACACGGCAGGGTCAGTTCATGATTCAGTGGTCAGTTTTGGATCCCCAGGGACAAAGAATAGCGCTAGATTTAGTGTTTGGTTGCCTTTAATTGGACCTGATACTATCTCTAAAAGGAAAAGATTTGTAAGCACGAAAAAAGTATTGCTTAGTGTGAACCTTCGCTTATTTTTTCAAAATGCTTCTTATAGAAGCAATATGCAGAATACAAGCTATGATGAATGATGTTGGTTGTCATGGTCCTCACGGTTTGCAAGGCATGACGAATGCCTTGTATGTCACAGCAGCATCTTGGCTCCTTCGCCCTATTAGGGAAAATAACGATGGCATACATCACATAGGTCACAAAGGGACTATAATGTGCATAGTGTGAATTTTATTTTGTGTTTCTATGTGTTTACCCATGTGCTTGCGTGTATGCATGCATGTGACTGCGTGCTCATCTTCAAGTGTCACAAGTGTTGTTACACTTACGAAGACTACCCCCCCCCCCCCCCCCCCCCCGGGGCGGAACCACTCACCAAAGTGTCTTTAGGCCATTCCCAAAGGGGGGACATTTCTCGTATGCACAGTAGAATTGTAAATGGGCTGATTCAACAATGTCATGCTCATAACTGTGCCTGAACTACAACAGGGAACTGCTGCTTTTTCTTTCCTAATCCTTACTATCGTCATTTTCCTCAACTTCTTTTGTATCTTTGTCATACTCTTGTGACCTGCTATTTCCAGGCGGGGTGCCTTGAAAGTTGAAACAGACTTTGTGCTGATGAAGCTAGAGAGGTGAGCAGAGTAAGCCCGATTCCCTGTGAAGACTTCTTTGTTGACCTCCACCCCTTGGCGCTCGTATGACCTTATGCAGTGCGAGCGCCGTAAAACCTCTACTAAAAAAACAAACAAACTTACTAAGACTAAACTCGGGATGACCTGCTTGTGTTTAGTGGGGTGTTGTGCTTGTATAGATGGTGAAAAATTAAGATCTTAAAGTCATGGATACACATCAATGCTAATGGGTCCACCTGCTTTTGAATTAATTATAATAAAATATATATATTCTGGATATTTTGTGTTCCCCAGCGGTGCGCTCGGATCGAATGCGTGGTGGCAGGAACAAGTTCGGTCCCATGTACAAGCGCGACCGCGCCCTGAAACAGCAGGCAGCCCGCCAACAGGCCCATGTCTTGCACGGGCCATGCGGGGAGCTCTCCCTGATGGGCAATGGGCTGCTGGGTAGTGGGGCTTCCCCTGGCTCGCCAGAAGACGTGAAGCCCGACCCCTTGCTTTTGCAGGCCAGCCTGAGCGTGTATGCGGGTGCCCCTCCCACTACCTCCGCCTTCATGCCTGGGCTCATCCCGGGCCTCAACTGCCTCTCCTCCAGCGCTGCCGCCCCGGCCCCACCCCCTGGGTCTTCGGTCACGGCGGTCAGCCCCGGTGGGCTGGGCATGGGTATGTCCTCCTCCCCACCACCACCTGCCCACCCCCACCAGCTCGCCCAGTCTGGCCACCCACCAGCCCACGTGGGTGCAAGATCTGGCGGGGCGGCCACACCTCAGGGCTTCTCTTCTCACAACTTTGGACACATCACCGCGCTGGCTGTACCTCAACCCCACAGCCCAAAGTCTTCGCAGTTTTCACAGCAACAGCAACAGCAGCGTCACACCAGTGGTGGGAACCACCACCTACAGCAGCAGCAGCAGCAGCAGCAACAACAACAACAACAACAACAACAACAACAACAACAACAACAACAGGATCCACATCATCATGGGTCAGACAACAGTCCCTTGGGGCGGGGAGAGTCTAGCCCTCCCAGCCACCACCACAACGGCCACCATCACCAACACCAACAACAACAGCAACAACAACAACAACAACAACAACAACAACAACAACAACAACAACAACAACAACAACAACAGCATCACATGCAGGCGCTGGCAGACATTCAGCTCCAGAGCCCCAGCTCCCTGCATGGTCTGGTCGGGCAGAACCGACATGGTGCTATGTCCGCTACGGCTACCAATGGCAACAACAACAACAACAGCGTCAACAACAATAACAATACCAACAGTTCCATGGGCTCAGGGATGCGGGATAGCGAGTCTGGGGGGTTCCTGCCCGCCCCACAGCCAAATCCCAATGTGATAGAAGCTTTGCGGGCCTTCCAGGGTGCTGGTGCCTCGGGCCAGCAGGAGCGTTCAGTTCTCTCCTCTCTCATCGCAGAGATCAAGGCCACCATGGTGGACGAAAATGAGGTAAGATGTGACCTTGTTTAGGATTCATAGCTTCTATCACATTTGTCTGTTGACTCAGGCTTTGAAACATTCAATAGCAAATAGAATAAAGATTGATGAGGTTGTTCAAAATTAATGAGTGCCAGGTACAGGAAAAAACTGAAAAAATGGTGTGAATTAGAAATATATTAAAATGGGGGAGAAGGGGGGAAATGGTAACTTGTAAGCCAAGGACCAATAACTTCACTGGTTAGCTCAATACTGTTGTGGTTCAAATTTCATCAAAGACTCATTTTAAATAAGAAGTAATGGTTTTTTTTAAAACTCCTTATTTCCGACAAGCTGCTCTCAGCAGCTCGCAATTGGAATCGTTGTACTGGTAAACTGCTAACAGTAGCTTGGGCACTTTCCTTTATGACGCTTTTCGGAAATTGCTGAAAAAGGTCTCTTTTACCGGGATTTCATTCATTAGATTAAGAGCTATCAAAATAAGTTCACTTGATTTGATTTATTGACCTATTTAGTGATGTATATATGTCAATTTAAACATTTGTACCGAAAGAGAGGCCTGGCATGGTGGGTTTACACCCCTTGGAGATGCACTTTTGGTGGGATCAGATTGAGAAATATAGTTTCTAGGCATAATATATTAAATTCACAGACCATGTCATTCTTATCATCTTGTGAAGTTTCGTGGATCTACTGTGTATTAGTAGTGGAAAATGTATCTTTTGATGGCGGCAATAGTCTCTCTCTCTCTTTTTCTCTCTTTCTCTCTCTCTCTCTCTCTTTCTCTCTCTCTCTCTCTCTCTCTCTTTCTCTCTTATCTCTCTCTCTCCCTCTCTCTCTCT